GTGGCAAAACTACTCAAAAGGCCTCTTGAATTTCTGAAGGACAGAAAATATTTTTTTCTACAAATTGATGTTAATACATAGAAGCTGAATTCCTATCAATCTCACTCTCTTATTTCAGAAGAAAAGTGCCAGAAAGCAGCAAGTAATCCCATTTCCTGTGTACCAAGTTTCTTTTTAATAGTAAGTGTAATAAAGTGTTGGCAATCACTTCAGAAGTCCTACTTTAAGTAGGAGCAAGGTGGGACAAATCTAAGGAGACAGAAGCAGTAACAGAAACCGTAACTATCAAACCACAGCAGCACACAAGGAAGATGTGACTGAGGTGAGGTCAGGCCAACCACAAGCAAAGACCCCCTGGGCAGCAGCAAAAGAGGCTGGCAAATTTCCACCTTGTGATGCCACATGGCTGTACTACTTACTTCCACGCACAACTGGCTCTTGCACATCCCCTCCCATAGCTCAATTCACCTACAAGTGAAATAATCACAGGGGTAACAACAGACAGACAGAGTGTAACGAGAACAGAGCATTCAACGCTCAGACACCAGAAATACTGAACCAGCATCTGTCCTGCCTCCTCGCTCACATCCCTTTCTGGTTCTCTGGTACGTATCGAGTTATAGCCAGCCAGCTTCTCTTTATTTGTTGCCTTCTCCAGATGATTCACTTTTTATTTTGCTTTATCAATAGAACGCTGCTTTCCACAAATCACTCTATTAAAACCTTTAAAGTGGCTGCCTTGATAATCTCAGTTGATTTATTTAGAACTAGAAAAAACAATCATTAATCTTTATGGAGTAGGATCACCCCAACATTTTTTAAAAGTGCTTTTATACATATGCATTGTGCCTGTCTATTCTTTGGTACCAGCTTAAATGAGATTGTACCAGGGAATTTGCTTCAAACATAGTCTCTTCATTAAACTTCTCCAAACCCATTTTGTTACCAACAGGTCTCAGTGACACACCACTCAATTGCCCATCTGTAGGTTCACTGAGTACAGTATTTTTTTACTAACAGAAAAAAAGAAAAAAAAAACACAGCCAGTTTGAGGCAATACCTACTCACTCTACTCTCTGGTGTTTTAACAATTAAAAAGCAGCATTCTTTTCCTGTAAATGCTCTTAAACATCTTAAACTTCTTTACACAACCACTGAAAATCCAACAGCCATACAAAATTGCCTGCCAGACATGTAATAGATTAAGCACATTAAAGGTGTTTGGTATTGTTTCAAGGAAATATTTTCCTCTTGTTCATTTATCACACTGCCAACTTCAATTCTGACTCCACTATTTTCTGTTATTCAGAAAGCATCGCTAATGAGGCAAATCTGGGGAGTACAGCTGCATCTTTCAAAAATCTTCAGCTTCACGAAGCATTTGGTGTGTGCAAGCACACATCGATACGGAGCTGGTCTGCTGGGCACACACAGGGTGAGGCACGGTGGAAGATGTACATCAGGAAGCTAAACGACTCGCGTGAAGAGAGCAGTCATTTGAGCCCTTGCGATCGGACAACCAGGCAAATTTACAGAGCTCCTTTTTCAAGCAGCAGTTAATTTGCTAGGCTTGCAGAAGGAAAAGCAGCATAAAACACTTCTCTTAATTACGGTTTTTAGCTGTGACAGATGCAGTCTCTTTAATAGATGCTGGAGAAGAAAAGTAATGCAAGAGGTTTAGGACATGAAATGTAACAGCACACCTGAAAATAACCAAACATCAAAATCATTATGCAAAGAATTAAAGATGAAGGCATAATTAAATACTCTGTGACCATCACCAACTACAAAGATGGTAACTGTAACACTGCCTGGCCCTTCCTCCTCTGTGTTACTTACAAAGACTAAGATGCCACATGTTGAAATACAACTGTAGTGAAAGCTGGGAAAAATAACATCCGTGTTCTAGCTGTTTTCCCTAAAATTCAGGTTTTCATCTCTGCTGTTTTGGGGTGGGGTTTTTTGTTTGTCTTTGTTTGTTTTGGGTGGTATTGTTTTGGTTTTGTTTTTGTTTGGTCCAAGAAAAACTAACAGAGAGAATGAGAGTGTATGGTACTTTAGGAAATTCACACCCCCCACTCTGGGCAGCATATTTCAGGACAAACAAGACGTTCAACAGCAACACCCAATCCTACCCGCACAGATCCAGTAAGCTGCTACTAGTTTTATGTTATTAGTTGTTTATAAACTCATAAGTTAACGAGCTGGAACACAGCTGATACCAAAGCTACCTGGTGGGCCACACACCTACCAGCTGATGTGGCCTATCCTGTTCTTCAGCGCTGCCTATCAATGGTGCAGCTACCTTGCTTTAAATGTGTAATTAGTTTTGGTTTGTGTTGTAGTTTGTCCTGGGAAAGAGGGGGAGCGAATGGTGTCTGGTTCGTTTAGTAAGTTCTCCCATTTCCTATATATATAACAATGTATTTGCAAATCTTCCTGTAGCAACAGCTTTACACAATCTGACCAAAACGAGCCTTACTATAAGAAAATCAGTACTTTCTTTTCTTAAATCTACAGAGTTCAAACCTTTTCTAAATCTTACAAAACAGGATGAGAAAACCATAGTATTAAACATGCTACACCCTGACAAAAATTGCCCTAGAACATTAAATTTTTTTTTAAAAAGGTGGGAGGGAAGCTCAGCAGTCAGCATCACAACACTGTGTCTAACAAATCTGGAAAGCTCAAAAATGTCACATTGCAAGGAAGGAAGATGATAGAAAACCATGCAAACAAGAGTACCAGAAGCTATGGAGAATTTCCATTTTGAAACCCACTTTTATTGTACCAAGCACAGTTCCTGACAATCATTCCGAAAACCTTGGACTTGATTACTCTCTGCAAACTATTTTAGACTAATGGAGTTTCTGTGGCTAACCTACTATGCCAGTTAATTTAAAAAAAAAAAAAAAGCCTAAAGCCTTCAGTCTTCTTCACAGCTACACGGAGCCATCCTTAGCAGCACGACCCTTCACAGAAAAGCAAATAAAGCTGTCACATTAAATACTTCAGAGGAATTATGGATCCACTTCCTTCTTGCAATAAACCCGGGCTGCTGCTCCTCTAGGTAAATTATTACCGCAGTTCGTGTGTACATAGGCCCTCATTTTGGCAACACCAAACCCTTCATCTGCTATCAGAACCGATGTGTTTGTTAGTCATGGAAACGTTGCACAATGATAAAAAGAAAAAAAAAACGTAGCAAAAATTTTGGGATTCTTGGGAAACTAGCCTGTCTCTGAGTTTTTAAGTTGGATACGAGGATTTACTGCCAATGTTTTCCAGCGTAAAAGCACTGTGATGTTTAACTGGAAGTAGCAGGAAGCTCAGCTTCCTCCCATGGCCCAGCAGCAGGATTCCTCCCACTAGCACCAGGCTAAGCCACTGCCCCAGGTGAATGAAAGCAGGGTGCTACTGACAGCCTCCTAGAGCAGTTGGCTTTCTCTGGAGACTTCAGATACAAGCACTGTCTGAAATCGAGACTAATTAGCCCACAAATGCTGAGGAAAACATAGCTAACACAGATACACTGATAAGACCCACTTTTTCCCTCTGCCACCACATGGGGAAATCGCTCTGAAGGAACGATAACGAGCCAGAGGACACGTCCCAAGCACGCACAGCACCCAATCTGCGCTAGACTTTCCTCTGGAACTTTGTCCTGAACCGACAGGATTTCGGGGCAGTTATTTAGAGATCTTGCAAAACCAGGCAGAGTTTTGCAAGGACATAAATTCCCGGAGCGAGCTCTCCGCCTGGGGAGGTACGGAGACGATGTGCAGCTCCCTCCCGGAGCAGCTGTTTTCGAAGGCTGGAAGAGGCTATAAATAGAGTGCCACCTGATTGCCAGTCCACACGAAACTCACACACAGAGCAAAGAAGAAATGCTGTTACTCCTTCGGTGTGTTCCTCCACTCCCCGGGCACCTCCGGCACTGCCTGTATTTTATATCACTCTGAGAAGCCTTCTGAGCGGCGTACTTGCTGTTAGAGCTCTCTTTTGCCTCGCTGGCTGAGAAAGAGTAGGTGGCGAAAAGCCAAAACCTGCTTTATTCTCGTGAGGGCTTTGACAGGTTTATCCAAAAAAGACAAAAAAAAAAGGGGGGGGGAACAAAAAAGCAGGAACGACGGCTGGGCGCCTTGACGGAGCAAACCACCTCAGCCGGTGCAACAGGTAGCGGCGCCTCGCCTGCCGGCTGCGGGGCGCCGAGCGCAGCCGGGCAGCCAGCACCGCCCGCACGACCCCAGCGGGGGGCCGGGGGCCGGGAGCCGCCCGGCAGCGCCCGGAGCGCCAGGGCCGCCAACGCCATTTTGCCGGCGCGGGGCTGCGGGCGGCGGGGCTGCCCCCGGGGCCGGGTGGGTCCCCGCCGCCATCTCGGGGGAGCTCGCTGCCCCCCCAACAACGGCTCCAACGGCTCCAACGGTTCCAACGGTCGCCCCCCCCCCCCCGCCAACCGCCCCCCCCCAGCCCTTACCCAGGTAGTGGCGCCGCAGCAGGCCGGGCTCCTCCAGCCCCAGGCTCCGCTTCCTCACGTCCCACAGCAGGTGGGGGCAGCGGCCGCGGGACATGGCCCCCGCCGCCGCCGCCGGGGGGGGGCTGCCGGGCGCTCCGCTGCCGCCGGCCGCCCCGCGCGATCACCATGGAAACCGCCCGGCCCCCAGCCCCCCGCCCCGCCCCAAGGCTCCGGCACGGAGAGGGAGAGGGAGAGAGGGAGAGGGGCGGGGCCGCCGCTCGAAGCCACGCCCCCTGGTGAAGCCACGCCCCCTCTGGTGAAGCTACGCCCCCAGGGAGCGCTGCCCCGCCCGGGAAGTGACGGACGGGGTGAAGCCGCGCAGCGCGCGGCCATCATGGGGTTGGGCGCCGGCTATCTTGGCGGGCCGCCATCTTTGAGGCGGGAGCGGGCCGGCGCTCTCGCCCTTCCCGCGGAAGGCCGGGACGGCAGCCAATCGCGCCGCGCCCCTCCCTCCGCCCCCCGGCGGCTTCACCAATCAGCGCGGTCTCAGCCGGCAGTGGGCGGGGCTTTGGCTGACGCGGCGTGTGGCACCGAGCGGCGCTGAGCGGAGCGGAGCGGAGCAGAGCGGAGAGGAGCGGGGGGCTCCCGCCGGGCACAAGATGGCGGCCGCCGCGGCGGGGCTGCGCGCCTCGTACCACCGCCTGCTGGACCGCATCGAGCTGGTGCTGCCGCCGCGCCTGCGGCCCTTCTACAACCACCCGGCGGGTAACGGCCCCCAGGGGTCACCTTGGGAGCGGGGACGGGGACGGGGAGCTTGTTGACGGGCATGCCTGAGGGAGAGGTGTCCCCCTGTTCTCTGGTACTCCAAATTTGAATTTCTGCTTCAGAGGAAAATAGGTGATAGCAATTAAATCTACTTCTGTGGAACCTCCGTAAGTTGGAGGCTCTTTATAAGAGGCTCTTATGCAGAGCTGTATTTGCAGCCTGATACAGAAATATTAAGTAGCTGCCTAAGAGAATAATGACTGAAATTTTTACCCTGGAGAACAAAAATCATGTGTGGGGTGAAACATTCTGTTCTTAACGTGAGAAGTCACCTGCTAGCAGCTATTAACTGCTGTGTTAAACTTGATCGCTGTCACGAGCCGTGTGGGTCTTTGGAGGGCTTTATGCAAAGCTGCCAAGGCCATTTCTGTTGCAGTTGTGCTGCCCTTCTGCAGGGCTTAGCTGGCTTTAAGGTTATGGAGCAACTGATATTCACAACAATAAGCCCGATCCTGCAAAGTGTAAGTGGCTTCACAGGTGCTTGCTGCAGAAACCTGGCAGTTAATTTTTCCCAGTTACTGTTTCAAACCTGTTTTAAAACACACAGTATGAAGAGTTACTGTAGGGCCTTTATTAGGCTGAATTGTTAGTAAAAAATTATCACGCGTAAAAAGCAAACAACCAAAGTCCTGGTGCTTATAATGTATACTTAAAAGCTTTGAACCATAATATGTAATGTATTAAAGCGAAAACTTGGCTTCATCTCGTGTGTCATCTGAGGGCTGAGCAGTGGCCTGCAGGACCTAAAAGTGAATGTGGTTTGATGAAATCAGAAGCAGTGCTTTGACTGTACCCCAGCACAACAGGTTCATATCTTGGGTTGTGGTCCCTCATTTGAAGACTTTCAGCGATAGTCCTAGGTTAACGACTTCTGATGGTCTGTGTTGTAGGTGTGGCATTGCGGTGCATTGTGTTAACCAACCAGCTGCCATTTTAGCACCACAGAGGGAGATTTTACCCTCCAGATCCCATTAGGTTGATTTTTCTTCCTTTCTTTCCATACACCTGTTCCTCTTTTCCCGTAATCCTCCTTTGACTATTGGTAGAAAACTGGAGTGGGAGTTTGATCGGGTGAGAAGTATTGTTTCTGCTAGACAAACATTGTTATTTGGAGATGCGTGTTAGAGGTCCACGAGAGCACCCTGATACTTGCATTTGCAATTTGTACTCTTTAAATTTCTAATACTGCTGTGCAGGATGTCTTCTGTAGCGTGAAGAGATGTGTTGAGATTTGGAAAGGGAAGGAGGGACTGACTTATTACAGTACCAGTAATAAAATATTTTGGGACTTTAGTTTACAAGATTCAATTTACAAAGATTTCAAATGCTAATTCCATTAGTGCAGTTACAGATCATTATATAGAAACTGACTTCATTCTTCCTGGCCTGATCTTAACTTTTCTGTTATAAATGCATCTTGTTTGCTTGGAAGTCCTTTTTTTGCAACAGAACATCTATTGCAAAATCCCATGGACTGATTATGTAACTGAAGGTTGATGTGCACTGAACTGATGAAATGTGAGGATTAGGTGATATAGCCTGTGCGGTGGTAGGCGCTGTTTTAATATATACATGTGTGTATTAGTTTAATTCATTATTAAAAACGAAAGAAAGAATGAAAGAAAGAAAGAAAAAAAACACCTAACAACTCAAAACTTACTGTGGGCATTGCATTGTAACAACCAAATCTCACTGAGTAACTTCACCCTCTTTCCTCCCTCAGGTCCCAAAACAGTGTTTTTCTGGGCACCTATTATGAAATGGGTAAGTGTAAGATGCCAAATTCTGTCTGGATGTTGATCAGAGGGCAATCTGAAGTAACCCGTTGGGCAAGCAATAGTTTCCCAGCAGGTATCTGAGCCTCCAGAAAGGTTTAATGCCAAGGCTCTAATTTTTAATATATATGGAGGAACAATAATCGTCTTAAGAACACTGTGGTGCAACCTGCCATGGATATAAGGGCTAAAAAGAAACAAGGCTTTGTGGAAAAACTGCTCTACATTGAAAGTTTCATGAAAGCTTTCTTTTGTAAAACACTCGCTGTTGTTCAAGGTAGGCGTCAACTGGCATAGTTCAAAACTCTGAAAGCACATATTTTGGACAGCAGTAGCGCTCTGCTTCTTGTGTGGTTCTGCTTCCCAATTCATTACCCCATCTGGCCTGTGTTTGTGTATGTGTGAGGTATGTGGCTAGTCCTAATTCACTGCTTCCCTCCTGGTTATTGTATTTGTACAGATAAAGTAAATGAGCTCTAAAATCATAAAGCTGCTCACTCTCCTTGTTTGATAACAAGCAAGGATATAACCTCCTCTTCCTATTGCCAGCTGCTTTGTAAGTGTGCTGTTGTGAAAACCCAGCTTCACATAGGCCATGGGCAACACGTTATGCTCCAAGCTGCAGCTTGTTTTTGTTGTCAATCTGCTCTGCTGCTGCAGTAACTATGGTTAACCTCCCCCCTTTTCAGAGGGTCTCCCAGGCAGCGTGCTCCTGAGCATACAGGCAACTCTTTTGAGCAGGTTTGCTGCCTGCTGCTGTATCACAAGAGCTAATACACAGGTGGTTTCTTCTTTTGTGAAAGTGCAGGACAGCCTAAGCTCACAGTGAAGTTCTTCATTGAGAAATTAAAATGACTTTTCCCCTACATGGCAAAGGCAAGTTGCCTTCCAAAAGCATTTACCCAAGTGGGCTGAAAATCTCTACCTCTGACATCACTGCAGCAACATCAACCCTGTTAAGTGAGGCAGCACACCTGTCTCTACCCTTAAAAACTATTCTCTTGGTTAGAGCACAACGTAGCCCTTAGTGGCAGTGAGATAAAAGCTTTCGAGCTTTTTTTGTTCATTTATTTTGGTGAAGCCCTGTAACAGAACAACAAATTGCATTTCCAGTAGATGGCAATAACACAACAAAATAAATCAAACAGTGTATTTGCTAGCAACACTCTCAAATAGGTCAGTCAAGCTATTTGTCACTTCACTGGGAATTTTTCCACTGAAATTATATTTAAAAAAAAATAATCACTTTTACCTCCTCAGATGAAGTTGAGCGAAGACTGTATGGTGTCACATGTACCTGCGTACCAACAGTATCTTAGCCTGAGCTTTAGTAAGAAGGGTCTTACTTAGACAAGGTTCTACTTGCTGCATGAAAACCAATTAGTGCTTAAAGCAGCTGTGCTTAAGTTAACCTTGTTCTTAATCTAATACAAAGTTGCCACTGCCTGGGATTTTATTGCAAGCCAGTTGAACCACCCATAACTGTGTTCTTATTTTCACCACAAGGGACTAGAAGGACACAGGGTCTCAAGAAGTAATTACTGTGCTCACACAATGCATCCCATCTCCTGCATAATGAACACAGAATAAACACTGAGCTTTAAGGTAACTTCACAGAATCACTGAATGGTTGAGGTCAGAAGGGGCCTCTGGAGACTACCTAGTCCAACCCTGCTGTGCAGGATATGTCATGGTATGTCCTGGTACTGGGTTTATGCTCAATGAATTTCTCTTTACAGGGCTTGGTGTGTGCTGGAATGGCTGATATGACCAGGCCAGCAGAAAAGCTCAGCACAGCCCAGTCTGCAGTGTTGATGGCCACAGGTAAAGCCAATGTATACCACACTTTTACAAAGCACCATCTGAGCTGTACTCATTCCTTTTTGAATTGGCAGCACTAAGCCACTTCTTTAGGAAAGGCTCAGCTATAATATGCCAGATCTCACTGTTGCTTTTACATGGTAACTGTAAGACAGATCTGTACTTACTATTAAATCTGTAAGAGTCCTGTGATTATTTACAGTTTTATACAAGTGTCTGAATTTGGAATTGTCCAAAGTGAGTTTTTTGAGTTAGGATACAAATTTGGTCCCTTGAGTTACAATGATACCACTCGTTCCAGTAAGGGACCTCCTTTGCTTCAGGTCAAGAAATTTTGACATCAGTCCAGAACACAGTGGCTTTTTTAGAACAGGCTTGAAGGGATTAAACAATGCTAGAGTAATTACACTAACGTAACTGGAAAGGACTTCTGTGTGCTACAAGAACTTGGAGTGGTGTACAGACTACTGCACTGCTGCTTGTTATGAGTTTTCACACTGCCAAAAGCAATATTCCATACTCAAGTTGTTCTACCAGATCTTGTCAGGGGTGAGACTTGTGACAAATAAAGCTGAAAATCAAAACTACAGCTGCCACCTTCTTCCTTCACTGGACTTTGTTTTGATACATGACTCAATGCTATGTGCTGTGCATGATATGTAAACCCTTCTTGACTGGTGGCTTCTGTAATCTCTAAATGGGTGCAGCAAACTAGATATACTACAACAAAATGCCACTGCCCTAGATTTGTGCCAACATATTAAGGTTTATACTGCTGTAGAGTACAGAAGATCTTAACATAGATCAGTCTTAGTATCAAATTATTGTCTGGTTACATTATTTTGGAAAAATGCAGTACATACCTGTAGCTTTCCCACTGGCGTTTGTTGTGCTTCTAACTGAGAAACAGCTAATTAGAAGAAAAACAGTTGTCCAACATGAGTTGTAAAGCTTCTGTGTACTTCAACTGGCCGATGAGTCTGTCCTCAAGGTTAGGGGAATGTCTGAATATTTAACTACAAAGATGTAATATCATTTAAACTTTTCGTTCAACAGGCCTTATTTGGTCAAGGTACTCTTTGGTTATTATTCCTAAAAATTGGAGCCTGTTTGCTGTGAACTTCTTTGTTGGCTGTGCTGGTGGCTCTCAACTCTTCCGAATATGGAGGTATGTATTAAGAAGGACTTCTCTATGCACTGTAATTGAGCACTCATGTCACCTAATCTTAACCAGTGATTTCATAAATTCCCCCAGTCTTTGTGTCAGTGTAACAGAAAAGAAGAACTGAGCAATTAAACATTACAGCACTTTTTTGCTACATTTTTAGTTTTCCAGATAAGTAGGAGGAATGCTTCTAAATATTTTCATTATACGTAGAGCGTGTTTTAAGAAGAGACCTATGTAAGGTTTCTAGGTTTAAGGAATTCTTTAAAAGCTGTAGGTCTGACTGACAAAAAGCCTGGACTACCTCATAAGCTTTGTGCTTCTGTCAGCTTTCCCTGATGAATCTGATCAGTTCCAGCCATATCAAAGGGTTCTTAAGTAGAGCAGCATTTTGATTTTTATTTTTCTATTTTTTTAAAAGTTATTTCTTGAGGGGAAAACTTGGATTTCTCTGTCTCCTTCAGTACTGGAGAGAAGTAATGCAAACTAGCTTAGCAGCTAATTGGTAGCTTCTTGCCTAAGCTGAGTTATACGGGGACTTGAGGATAGAAACTCAGGATAGGAATTTGAAACCTCCTTTGCTGAATACATTGTTATGAAGATGCTGTTACTGTAACTGGAGCACTATCCTCAATCTGTGTTTTTCTTTCCTACAGGTATAATCAGGAGCTAAAAGCAAAACAACAAGATCAGCTGCTGCAAAAAGATGCTTAACCCTACAGGTCAAATTCAGCAACGCACAAACCCTTCCCCATGGGACCTAGCTTCACTAATTTTAACCTTTTTTCCTCTGAGAAAATGGATGGGGAAATCTAAATGTCTCAAAAGCAAGTGTTTTCTAAGTGCAAATAACAAAGTATCTCCATCCACTTAAATAAAGTGCAACCTTTTAAATTTAAGTAAAATGCTATGTCTTGTGTTAGGGAAGTTATGTTGTCTCTTTAAAAGAAACTGGTTGTGGATTGTGCCTTGAATTGTTTGTTTGGCCCTGCCTTATCTGACTCTGTTGAACACATGTGGGAGTGACATGGTATCAGTGACTGTCAGCCAAAGTCCCAGACGGAAGTAATTCTTTTCAAATGTCATGCTGAGACCCTGTGTGGGGTTATACCATATGTTCAGTAGCCAGTGACAGTGACACCTGCATTTTATTCTCTGATATTCTTCCTTAGTAGTTTAAGGATATTCTTTTCGGGTTCAAGTTATCTATATCTTGATTTGTTTCTGGGCCACAGCCACCTTTATCTAGAGGAGGGCAAGCCTATACATGCCAGTAGTATGGGTTTTGGTTTGTTTTTTTGTTGTTGTTTTTTGTTTGTTTTTAAGCTTCTGTCATCCCCTACAGCTAGAGGGCACAACTCGATGGGCATATTTAAGTACCTGGTTCTTGGGAATGTGAAAAATAAATAGCTAAAACATCTGTTACTCACTTTCTGTGCCCTCCTTAAGTACATACAGATTTTCTGTAAAGTTGTGCAGTCAGGAAACTTGTACGTGTCAATTCTCCAAAACTTTGGAGGAAGTGGTTTGCTCTCATCTGTGGCATGTTTATGAATGAAACCTCTGAAAGTCACCCTCTCTCCCTATTTAATTTCCTGTAAAGAGGGAAATGCACCAGAGCAAAGGCTATATGTTACGCTGCAGAAACCCCTCTGCTGCTGAGAAGCATAAAGCAGTCATGCTCAGAACATGGCATCTATCAGCTTCCCCTGGGATCAGAGGTCAGACCTCTTCTACTAAAGCCATCAGTAAATATCTGAGGGAAAAGAGATAACTGAGACAGAGTTGCTTCTTCAGTAAAGTGAATGCTTTGAAATACTGGAGTTTGGAATGGTCTCTGATTAAGTCTCTCCTCTGCCCTATGTATACTTATGTATAACTTATGTAAGAAGTGTTAGCCAGTACAAAGTAATTGTGCAGGACAGCATTTTCCCTTCTTCTAAGATACGTGCCCGATACTTGATCAGATGCCCTTTTTCAGAGGCTGTCCTGCCATGGAGGTGCTTCTCTCCTACCTGTATTCTGCTAGAAGCGTGTGCTGTCCCCTCAAACACTTTTACTTGCGTATCTTAGTTCTCTTAGCTGAAGTGGTGATATACAGTATCATCTCAAACGGTGAACTCTCCAGCTGTGTGGTGTTTGCTGAGCTGACAGAGACTGCAGTGACTGAAGAACATTGCCAGGAAGAAAGGTAGTGTATTTCAGCCCCCCGACCCTTCCCAGTTCCTGACCAGATGAGACTCATCCAACAAACCAGTAATGGGAAAAAAAAAGTGTATTAAAATATTCACAAGATTACAATAGAAAACATGAAAGTCCATTCAAGAAAAAATATCCAAGATAACTGTTTCCAGATGAGTCTGTAAAAGCAAAACCACTACCAGTCAATACCCTGGCTTTTCATGTAATCAGGACGGTGCATTTCATATCTAGCTCCCTCACACAGATTATACACCTGTCTTACAGGTGTTTGCTCTCTTGCATACCTCCAAGATGGAGGGTTATGAGAAGTATCCTGTCTATGCTACCAATTATATTTACCACGTAAAAAGAGCTGGCATTGTAGGGAGATAGAAGAGATTGCACAGCACGCTGATAACAAAAGGCATTGAACTTCATTTTAGAGTGCAAAACCACTTTTAAACGAAAGGGCTTAGTAGCTTTAGGGCAGTGAAGAGAAGGAAAGGAGAAGCCTCAAGAAGAGTACAAATGCTGAGCATCGTTAATATGATTTTGTAGTCTCCCATGTAAAATGTTACCTAAATATTAGCACCACAGCAGTATGGCCACAGCCCAGAAGTCTTACCCACCTTCACACCTTTGTCAGTTTACAGAGAAAACAATTCCATCACCTACTATACAGTAAGAATGTTTTGTATTTGAGGTCTTAGGTAGATACATTAATAATGCAAAATTCCAAGACAAGATTTTGAAACAGACTGAAAGTATTTTGGTTATAAATCAAACGGCCCACACTTTACCTCAATGAATCCACTCTAAGGCAATGCAGCTTCTAAGTTGCACATATACATGTACTGCAGTTACAAGACAGATGGTTACCTAAGCAGTTCTCACAGGTTTAAAAAAGTTAAAAACCTAATTCCAGTTTTTCTAGTCACAAACTGAAATAGCACTAAAGCTTTGAGAAAACAAAACCCTACAGTTCTCCGGTTATCAATGACACATCATGCAATTAATTAGAGGGAAATATGTGCCAGCCTGTAATGGCCTTGAATGCCATTCAACGAACAGGCTGGCCACCTCCCTCACAGAACAACTGCTAAAATCAAACAGAGCGATGGAGATTTGACATACCGAGTACAACTACTAATTTACGTAGATTGATACTTTATACGTAATCATCTTCAAAATCCATTTCTGCTGATCAGTAATAAGGAAGAAAATATTCACTGTTAGTATAGGCAAAACCTTCACTTTGCTGTACTGTTCAAAATTGGGGATGAGAAAAAGATGACTGATGCCATTCATGTTCTTGTCTGTAGAGGGTGCAAGCTGTCTTAGCAGCTAGAGCCCAGGCTGGTGCTCTACAGTAAGTACAAGGTCAATTTTACATGTAAAAGCGAAGCCAGTTGATGTAATTTTTTCAGATTTCAGTAAATCTTTCGATATGGTTTCTCACAGAATGCTACCTGGACAAAACGTCCAGCATACAGCTAGATACAGCTAGATAAAAACATAACACAATAGATGAACTATTGACTGACAGGTAGGGCTCAAAAGGTTATGGTAAATGGGGTTACATCAGGCTGCGGCCAGTCACCAGTGGGGTCCCCCAGAGCTCCATTTTAGGGCCAGTTCTTTTCAATGTTTTAATAAATGATTTGGATGTAGGAATAGAAGGTGTTTTGAGTAAGTTTGCTGATAATGCTAAACTGGGAGGAGTTGTTGACTCTGTCAAAGGGTGGAAAGGCCTTGCAGAGAGATCTGGACAGATCGGAGAGCTGGGCAATCACCAACCGCATGAAGTTTAACAAGAGCAAGTGCCAAGTCCTGCACCTGGGACAGGGCAACCCTGGCTATACGTACAGACTGGACGATGAGACGCTGGAGAGCAGCCTAGAAGAGAGGGATCTGGGGGTCGTGGTAGACAGCAAGTTGAATATGAGCCAGCAGTGTGCCCTGGCAGCCAGGAGGGCCAACCGTGTCCTGGGGTGCATCAAGCACGGCATCGCTAGTAGGTCGAGGGAGGTGATTGTCCCGCTCTGCTCTGCACTGGTGCAGCCTCACCTCGAGTGCTGTGTGCAGTTCTGGGCACCACAGTATAAAAAGGACATGAAACTGTAGGAGACAACTTGTAAATCACACAGACCTTCCCCAGCTCCATCCTGAGCCACACAGTACTTCTTTTCAAAATAGATGGACCCAAAAAGTACTAGCAGCAGTACTGGAACTGGTCAAGAACAACATGCTTCATTTTCCTAGGAGTACATGCTGTTCATTTCCACCTGCAAAACAGCCTTGGAGAATTAAGAGAATACCAGCAGAGGACATAGAATTGAATTTATGGTCACTATAACATCAGGATCTGATGACATTGACTGACTTTAACCTTTGCTTGCTACCCATCAAGGAAATTGGAAGTCCTCTGCACCTGAGACAAGTAAGCATCAGTCCTTTTCATCAGCACAGGTTACCACACCTGATTAAACAAGCTAAGACAACCTGACTGACAGAAAGTTCAAAACAGTTTTGTCTCATACTGCCTCAAGTTCTGTTGACTTCAGCCTGAATAAGTTGTTTAACAGCTACATTGTAGAAGCTGTCCATTCCAGCTAAGCAACTTTGCTCATGTTTCCATGACCGAAAAAAAATAATAAATGAACAGCCTTCACAGTGGAGAGGGATTCAGACCAATTTGTACTACTGCTCCTAGGGATAAGGGAGTTTGTTTCTTTCTTTAAAAAATAAAAAATAAAAAACTCAACATTAATAAAAAATCATTCAAAATTCAATCTGTCTTCATACAGAGGATCCAAGCAGCTTTGCAATGAGACTCCTCAGTAGAGGTTCTATGAACATACCTGTAACTAAACAAAAACAATAACATATTTCCTATAGTTAGCACCAGAAGTAACAGTATTGTGCTCAGATTCTCCAGTATATTCCAAAAGAAAAAAAATATAAATAAAAATTCAGAGCCAAGGACAGACAGCCCTATTTTCTCAGAGCACTGAGTTTTTGATAGTTAAATTCATCACCCTCCTCCCTTCTACTCTAAAATGTCTAGGAAGAAAGATGTAATGCACAGGCATAAGCACAGGCAGATCAAAATCAGGTTTCCCCGTCAACCATAACAAAAGCTTTGTTACTTTGTAAGTGTAGAACAAATACTGGGGAGAAACAGCATAGTTCATAGGGAAAGCAGCAGTGGGATTCACCCTGATTTTAGTGATGCTCCTTACAAAGGCAGGTATTGTCAGAAAACCAGCCAAGTGTGATCCTGATGAAAGTGTGTACCCAACTTTGTTGGGAAAAATGACTGAAGGGGAAGCCAGACTCTTCTCACTAGTGCTCGCTGACAGGACAAAAGGCAGCAGACAGACGTTTAAAACCAGGATATTCCATCTGAATACATGGAAATGCTTTTTTCCTTTAAGTGGCCAAACATTGCCCAGAGAGGTTGAAGAGTTTCCAACTGTGGAGATACTCAAAACCCAACTGGACATGGTCCTGGGCACCTGCTCTAGCTGAACAGGGACGGTTGGACCAGATGATCTCCAGAGATCCCTTCTAACTTCAACCATTCTGTGACTGATTTTGTGAAATAGATTGAATTAGGAAATGGCTGAAAATCAGAGAGAAGGGGTTATGGTAGATCAAGCTGAAAATTATCTACTGGTATAGAAAAGCCTACACCACATTAGGGTGTACAAAACAGAAATCCTTCTTACTATATGCTAGTCTGCAAAGACCTCAGCTGGAGTGCCACTTCAAGTCCTGAACACTGGATTTCAGGATACAAATGGGTCAGCTAAAGAAAGATTCTCTTCAGCAGAAAAGGACGATTTGAGATCCCTATCAATCTATGAGGAGTATAATCTCGAAACAAGAAGCTGGGAAATTGTATTCAAGTAGTAGACTTGCAGAGAGGAAGGAAATAAACTGCCCACCGCATCCTCTGTGCAAATTAAGGTTATGAAAACACACAAACAAACAACAATAATGACAACAAAAAAAAAAAGGCAACAAAACAAAAGGGAAGCTCTAAATTTCTTCCAGAGGTCATTCAGCCTCCATTTAGAGGCTTTTGAGAACTGATAAAGCATCTCTTAGGAAGTGACAAAGGTATAATGGAGTGACAAGGGGGAGATGAGGGAATACTACAACTTCCAGAGCCCTTGGAGCCCATTTTGTTGTGCTTATATGAAGTGACACAGCTATGAGGAAGAAACATTTCATTGCCTCAGACTTTCAGTGAACTTTTCAACCACCTAGAGTTACTGTTTCTTATCCTTCTAGCTCACTAGCTCTTCAGTTTTCACAGGTAAACTACAATTTCACAAAAGTCATTAGGTCAGCACCATCCCTGTACCTTAAAGGACTGGGCTTGAATATATGGGCTCGATACAGAAGTAAACAATTCTGCGACCTGTGTTACACAGGTCAGGTAGGCCTAAACATTTCCTTCACTTGCAGTGGTAAGATAACCGTTTCTGATAACAAGGAGTCACAATGTGGCTTACAAAACCAAGTGAGAATGTCTACCTCATGCAAGAAGGCAGCTTGTACTGAGAATCTGACCAAGGAAACATGAATACCCTGTGAAAGTTACCTTTATATTCACCTCAACAACAACAACAACAAAAAATAGGCCCCATGAACAAAAAAAAAAAAAAAATCTTGAGGTCAACCTAAAATCTTAGTTATCTTCCAGTTTCTCCGTTAATAATCAAGATAAAAATATTTAAAAACTGTGATGTGAATTTCCACTTTCTCTCTCGTCATACAAGATACAAAAAGAATATTGGCAATTTATAAGCAGAATTCTTACCGCATTTCAACATGCAACATTGGTCTCACTTCTGTACGATTAAATAGACTATTTACACACAATTCATATATATCTTTCCCTCTGTATGCACATGCATTGGTCCTAGCCTAGGCATCAAAGGCCACATGTGAGTTCTCTGGGTCAAATTTTGTTTAAGCAATTCCAGTCTGAATGCGTGTTTTGCATTGGATAGGTTAGGATCTCATTTCAGTTCTTCCGAATATCAGCATAGACCACAGACTCTGACTTGTTAATCTTGTCGCTGTGCTGTCCTCCGGAGTGATCTAGCTGCGCGTAAATGACTGGGCCCTGAAAACAGAATAAAAAAGCACAATCAGTATTGCTCAGGATAGGTCATACCGCCCCTCCCTTCCGCAAGGGCTACAGCAAGACCACACAGCTCTTATGACTGCTAGTGACACTTTAAAGCAAGTGGAATGAGCCCTCACCTATAAATGAGCTCTACTCTGCCACCTTGCTCTTATTGGGAGCGTGCCAAACAGCAGGATTTCCTCCCTCTAATAACTGCTAAGGCTGCTTGCCTTCTCACAAACAGCAAAATCCAGAATCCTTTGTTCTGGAAAGCAGCAGTTCTTAGATGTTGTGGTGCAGAGAAAGATACGTGGCTTAGTCATATGCATGCCAGATTTAATATTTTACAAGATAAACTATGCTACATATTTACCAGTAGATAGCAGAGTGTACTTCATGTGCTTACTACTATTCAAGCCCTGTAAATCTCACCACAGCTGTACCACTTGGATATAACTGAGGGATAAAATAAACCTGCAGCCACCTCAGGACACCACAGTCACTTGATGGGTTCAAGGCTCACACAGCAGCAAGCCAGAAAATACTAAAATGGTGCAGTAATGTGGAGTCTTACCTCACTTTTAAGCCAAACCAGTCCAGAGTTAAAAAAAAAAAAACAACAAAAAGTGTAAAACTGAATCCTTGGTCAGCTAAGCCATCAAGGCACTCTTTTGCTACCAACCAGTCCAATGTATGGTGCAGATCTGCAAAGAGAACTGCCCAAAACCATCACACCAGACTTCACACATAAGGTGTGCTTGGCACCTTCTCGGCCAGTGTGTTCAGCACTGCCCAGCACTGACAGATATTGCCAGGTTTTCCTTGAAAAGACTGCAACACAGCCACACACCTCTGCTATATCTGCTGGAGTGAAGTAGAGGACAGAAAAGCAGAGTCTTTCAGCAGGGCATGCAAACACCCCAGCACTTTCCTAAAGGACCACGTCCTCCAAAACACAGCCCACAGGAAAGCAAGCTGCAGCTGTTCCAGATGGGCTGGGGGCAGGACTGCAGCCTACAAAGAGCAAGTGCTTGACAAGGTAAAGGTGGGACCTTTTTATGGAAAGGGCTGACACACAGCTCCAATTCTGCACACAACGGACAAGCACAGGGCGGAAGGCTGTGACCACCTACCAGGAGATCTCTGAGGAGAGACCACGCACAAATATTACCTGCACGGGAGAGAAAGGGACTGTTCTGTTAGGTGGAGGGAAGAGGTGGAAAATTGCAAGGACAGATCTTCTTGTTCAGTTGAGGGCTTTTGCCTCGAAACCATTTCACCCATTTAACTCCATTACTGTTTCCCTTAGGTCCAAGGGAGGAGAAGCTTTCATAGATATTTCTCCCATTCTCTTCTCTCCAGTACTTTTGGTATGCTGCCAAATTGGAAAGCATCTCTATGGAACTGACACAGAAAACCTTTCATCTATCTCCCAAAGCAATTAGCCAAAGATGAAAAGGAAATTTTCAAAGGCCCATAGGTACACTTCTGTACAGCTGTTTTCCTTCCAACACAAAGGCAAAGCAGGCACCTGCCTCATTCTCCTTGAGAAGCAGTTTAAACCCAAACTTTCTTCCTTCCAGATAAAGCACTTCCCAAGATATAAGAAAAAGAGTAGAGGAAGGGGATGGAAATAAGGATGGAAACTTACAAGCAGCTATAAAATGCTGAATAGAAATAACAGATTGTGGAAATGCTGGGGAAAAAAATAAATACAGATGTCCTAGAAAAGTTGGGATTTAGAGTCTCATTCAAAACACCTTTTTTTACCCGACTTGATTCTCACATTGTTCTGATCTCCAACACTATATCTAGATCATGTTACTAACTGCAATTAGAGCTCAGTCTATGAAAACATAAAGACAAGTTACGCATAACGTTTATTTGTAAGTAATTTAGGAGTTCTCATCTGCCTGAAACCACAGTTTAAGGATCTGGTAAATTCAGCTCTACAGCACTTTGTATCAGTTCAAAAAAATCTACAGCTTCATAAAATACTCACAATTCTGACATTTCAGGTTTGCTCAAGAAATTCTGATGGGTCAGTTTTCAACCACAGGAATTCACTACTCAGGATCAGTTTTATCACTATTCTAATTTTATGTCTGGTTAAATATAGTTATCCTGCTGCAACCAGCACGTCAGGTGGTGATGGAGGATCTGACTTGCTGTGGTCACCTGATCCAAATCAAGCTATCGTTGTTTGGATATGCTCACTGTCACCCAAACAAATGATAGATTGGCTGACGCAGAGAAAAGGAGGAGCAAGAATTTGCTATAATGCCTCACCTATTTGATTTATTGCCAGCTGAATCTTTGTGAAGACTCTTCTTCCATAAGTAAAAGCTTCAGAAAAGTCTAAACAATTCAGAACTTTCACCTAAGTCCAACTAAGATCATTCTGACTCTTCAAAACTAAGAGAAAGGGCAGCACTGCCATAAAATAACCTGCATTTCCCAAAGTCTTGTGATTTTTTCATTCAAACCAATGGAAAAAGAGCAGCAGGTATACCCATACCTTGCTAAAAGTTTGTCAGCAGAGTCATGAATTGCAAGTTACAGCAAAGAGAAAGGAGTTATGAAGTTAGATCACCATGCCATGTGGTCTACAGTATTCTCAAGTTCTTTAGATTCTGGAAGATGTTGGAACTACCACAGATTGCCAGCCCCAGGAAATTTATCCGAAATTTAAGCCAGGATTCTCTGCACCATGAACTGCTCCCTCCTAGGGTCCTGGTGTCCAGCCCAAAGCTCAGAACAGAGCCCAGACTAAGCTTGTTCAGTTATTCCTGAAGACATTCCCTGCAGGCCTGAGGTCTGCACTGAAGTTAACGTAGCTTCAGTGCTTCCAGCTTCTACCCTGATAGACCTACCCACTTGGGATCTCTGTGCCATACTGCTCTGTACATCAGAAATGTACTTCTGCAGAAGTTACACTTTAAGATGGACAGTATTTCAGCCTGCCCAGAAATGAGTAATCACAAAGCAGAAATACAAATGACAAATAGAAGCCACCTTGGAGTGAGCATTTCTTGGGACAACACACCCTGCCTCCCAGTTTGCCTGTTGCAACCCAGCTTACTAGCTAAACAAGGACATCCATCTGGGAAACGCATTTAGGAATGTATTTCTCTCTCATCCATATAACAGTCATAGTAGAATACAAGTCACTGCAGAACGATGGCATGGAAAAAGAAACACCATATACACATTTGACAGGACAGAACGTATCTGCTAAGAAGAAACAGTGAAAATAAGTGGTTCTGAGTCGCTCAGCTGAACATTCATAAAATCAGACAAGCTTTATCTAGGTCTTAAAGGCAGACTGCTATTAACAGACCCACTCCAGTCAAAATCAGAACTGTTTTAAAACCTTATCACTTGATTATATTGCTTTTAGGTTCATAGAATAACCGTTCTTTGAAGTCATCAGGCAACATTGTGGGCCTACATACTAAAACTTTGGCTTCTGGAAGCACTGCGTGTCAAGAACAAGATGTACTTCAAAAGCAGACTGTAAATCCCCAACAGAGCAAGGGCCTTGACTTTATCCATCTCACTCAGCACTGTATTTTCTTCCTGCAGTATTAACACGTATCTCCATTACCTCTTCAAGAGAAATGAAGAAAGCAGGTGTCAGCTCTGATTTAGAAACCTCTCAGAGGCCACACACTACTAGTAGACACTTCCTAAAAGGTGACTTACTAAGAATTAGTCCATTTTGGACATAAACTCACTCAGAACCCAGGCCTCCATGAGAAAATTGCTGAGCATATACAAATCAAGAGGTAAGAAACACCTTACAGATATGGAAATCCTGCACATTGTTGGCCGATAATTATATATTGCACAGAATCCCTGTTTGATGCATGCTCTCTGCCCTCTGACTAATTTCCCATGAGATGATTAGTCAGAGTAAGAGCTACCTTTGTCCTTCAAAGTTAGCAGAACTTTGCCTACAGCAGCAAGAACAAGACAAAGTTTCATAATTTCAAGCCCGCAAATGCTAGGTGGCTCAGCAGAAAAGCACTTTGGGCAGTAAGAGTGACTTCAGACTAACCACCACTGGTCAGTGTTTGCATTGCACTGGCTCATTTTCACGTAAAGGCACTGCGTGCCACTTCGAGCATATACCCCCACATCGATGACAGATTAAGGAAAACTCCTCCCCAGCACAATCCCAGAACAGCCTAGGCAGCTTTGTAGAGTGTTACACATCTAGTAGACAACTGTTATCTCCATGTATCTCCAGCAGCTACCCACTACGAATTCCTCATCTTCCTCAGGATCTCACACTTGTACTTCACTACCATCTATGTTAATGCACATAACAGAGCCATCTTTTTCGTACATAAGTACAAAAAGGACATAAAACTCTACCTCAACAAATATCAAAATGCTATTCTTTCAGATGCACTACATCTCTGAGGGATTGCTGCCCATCCCTTGTTCATATCAGACATCCCTCCCACCCTCATCACCTTAACAGACAGCACCTAATTCACGTGTCCCACCCTGCCTTTAGTTTTTCCATACCATCTCCCCCACGCTCCGTGAGGATCCTGCTTCGGAAAGAAGCAGTAAGCAGTTTACCTGGTGTGATCTGGCGGGTACGCTGTTTACCAGACCCTCTGTGTCGGAGGGTGACTTCTGCGGAGCCTGCTTAACCGGTGACATCAAGCTCTCAGATGTACCGCAGCTGACGAGGTGGCAGAGCAGAGTTTGCACGACAATGTTCAAGAGGCACAAACACACACACACACAAAAAAAAAGGAACAAAAACAAAAAACGAGTGATGGCGAGATGAAATTGGTGGCAGATTATGCCAAAGTAAAAGTGAACATAATGGATACTGGAATAAACACATATAATTCTCCATCTCTCCCTAGTCGTTTCTCTGCCCTTCCTCCTAGAGTCTCGCTGCTGAGCAACGTGAAGGAACAACTTTAACATGCGACAGCAGCTCCTCCAAAATTCTTGTTCCCTAGATATTCCCATTTAACCCAACCAGTCTAAAACTTTACAAACCCACATACGTGTTTTCTTCACTGAGGCTCGAGACTCAATTAACAGCAGTAAACAGCAATTTTCTTCTACCTGCAAGCTAAATAGCCCCAGTCACTGAAGCAAGCGTTATACCACTGCTAATATTAAAGGGAACACTTGCAACAGCCACCAAGCTCTCCGTACTACAAAGGTACTTCCTACCAAAGTCCACATTAGTTCCCTTGCTTTTTGTTTGGGCTATGACTCCAAAATAATTCTGCTCACTCACAACAGACACTAGTCTCTGGAGTGATTACTTTAAGAGTCATAAGTGACGTGTACGCTATGTGCCCAGATACAGCTACGTGAATATCTAAACGGGCAAATCTTGTTTGAAAACTCAGAAAACTGTCTTGTGGTGAGAACTAACACCTCTGAAAGAAGGTTGCCAGTTTTCAGTCATTGCTTGTTTCTTCCCATCTGCTTAGAGCAGGACCGAAAAAAACAAACAACAACAAAAAACCAACAAGCCAATGACAGATAAATGAACACCACTGAGCTAAGTATATGAGCAAATGTCTTCAAACTTAACCTTGGCGGCTTCTGGGCAGTGCAGTAATGGGTCTTTAAATGTTCAGTCTATCTCCTCTTAACCCACGCACCCAGGAGAGAAAAGGGGCCACCTCCTTGACAACAAACACAGGAGTTCCCATTGCTACTGCTTCGCTACCCTCTGATCACTGAGCATCCTTTCCCCACAGTCTTTTTAAAAAGACAGTGTACAAAGCAAATACAGAAACAAACAAATAAGGACAGTGACATTAAGCAGACACCTCCTCACAGGGCAATCATTTTTTAACCTCTGGGAAGTCTAACCGCAGAAGATTTAGCTCTACAAACATGCCACAGATTAAAAAAAAAATGTGAAATACTGCAGACCCAGTAACCACAGAAAGGGGTTTCCACTCTGTCTCAGAGACAGAGCAGCCCTTCTGTGACCGAATGACATAACCATGAATTGTTTCCTTTATTCACAAAATTCCTAAGATCCACACTATCAAAAAGTCCTAATTCCTTTTTAAGCAGCTCATGCACTTAGATGACTGCAATTGTAAGTTTTCAAATGGCAGAGCTGTCCGAGCCAGAAGAACACTTACAGAGAGCGTGTTTTCCTTCTGTCATGGAAAGAACTCTGAATTTCCTGTGCTCTAGTCAATGCACTGGCAAGTTCACTGCTGGAAGAGATGGAGGGACACCATCTGGGATAAGCAGCAATCCCACCCCAGCCAGACATGAGACAATGAAACCCAAGCACCCAGTGAAATGCATTGTCCCTTTGCCAACAGATTCCAGCACAAATTACAGTGAAGTTATGTTAGCACAGAGCTAGCCGGTTAGTCAGCAAAAGAAGAGGAAATGTGTACACATACACACAGGTATTAACAGCAACCACCAACTTGATTAGTTACCATGGTGTCTAGTGGGACTGGAAGAGAAGACCCAGCCCTGTTACATTCCCAATCTGGCGTCTATATCAGGATCTCTGTAAGGAGAGGAAGATAAGCAGGATCCGATCCCAGCACACCAAGGCAGAAAGGAAAACAAAAAAAACACCAAAGTCAGATCATGAACGGAAATTGTGGCCATGCAGGGTTCCAGATGCCGCGCAGTGCCCCAGCCCACCTCAGTTCAAGGCAGAGTTGTTATCTAAGAGTAAGTACATCTCACCGCTACCACCACACACTAGGTTAGTGTCATGGAGAAGAAAGTCCGTAAGTTTGAAGGGGATCACAGCACGTTTGGTTTCTCTTAGCATGTCATGCAGAGCTGCCACGGTCAGCAAAAGCAGTATTCAAACTTCAGAGTTTACTTTCCTGGGAGAGCAATTAAATCTATCATATGAAATTACTGCACGTGAACTCCTGCTCCAGGCTCAGCTCCAGTACATGTCCTTCAGTGTACTGAAGGGTACTGACAGTGGTCAGTAGGTCACTCAGAAGCAAAGCATGTGGATCATCACATGTACACTCCTGGTGCGTGACTCTGCAGGTTTTTTCTCAGTTTTTAGCAGAAGGACACATGCAGAAAGGGGGAAGCAGACTTTCTGCACAATTTTGAGCACATGCAGCTGCCTTCACTGCACTCAGCCTTACCATTGGGAATAGCCAACTCACTTTCTCTAAGCTCTCCAACTGGGAAAAGGACAGGGCAAAGTTCAATTTAGAAATCCCCACAAGTTTATTTATGGAGTTGTTTTCTTTTATCTGACAGGCAACCAAGAAAATCTGCAGGAAGCAGGAATATTTTTGGGGAAAGAATAGAAGAAGGTTATAAATCTTGATTTTGTTTCTAAGATTAAAAACATAATTTTCATTCTTTCTTACCGAAGCAAATGACCATCTAAATTAGAGAGAAAGAGAAAAGAGAAAGCAGTTCCCCCACCACCAACAAGCTCCATCACCACAGGATTCAAGTTTGCTTTTGTTAGGTCTTGTTGCATTCTCACATCCCCACTCAAAGAACTGTGCTTTATTTAGGAAATACCCTCCTAACACAAAAAAAAAAAACACTTGTAGGGATGGTAACAGTTAACTAAAACCAGACAGTTGAATGAGGATGGATGTGGAGTGGTTACTCCTTCCTTATTTTAAAGAGTGGTGATGAATGGGATTTTGGCCAGTGTACTACCACCTCAGGAGCAAGACACTGGTAACTGAAAAAATCAGTCTTCATCTCAACAGAGCATTCCTTAAAACTGCATGTGTGGCACTTTTTCTTTGGGAAGGGGGAGGCTAAGGGAACAAGGGGATGGGAAGGGGAACAGAACAGAGCTAGGGGATCTTAGATTAGATGTCCATAGGGCACATAAGCTTGTGGCAGGGCTCAGCTGTAACATTTAGTGATTATCAGGTGCAACTCATGGTCAGTAGGCCTTTTCAAGCACAGTAGAAAAATAATCATTATAGGCAGATGGCCAGTCTTCCACATGGCCATACCCTACGTCTAGTCATGCTTGCCAAGACTTGGCTGAAACAACTCCTACCCCCCTGTAAGCCCTCCCTCTGAGCCTACTGCTGTTCCTCACATCATACACAGGTGAGGAGGGAGATCTCTTACCCAGAGTAACGTTTTTTAGAGTTGTTCTTTCTGATGACAAGACACACGACAATAGAGATGAGCGGTGTGAGACCTGTAACCGTACCGATGACTATCCCTGCCACCATGGCAATGGGGAACGCAGGCAGGCTGTCTGGGGAGAGAAGGGAGAAAACATTCAACTCTTCTGCATTCCCTGATTAACAGAAATGCAAACCACAAATGTTCTTGACCTTGGATTCTTTTAGAGCAGAAGCACTAATGTAATATCCAGGAATTAAAACATGCAGCCTAAATGGTAGCGATTGCAGGCAGCTAGCAGAATAATGTATGAACAGAGCAGACACCAAGAGCGTTCTTTAAGTCACCATCCTTCAGGAAAGGCTTTATATTGAACTAAGAATTTTTTGTATGTCAAGGAATACAAGTGATAATGACAACAACCCTATCCCATTTTGTGTCTGAGAAAAAAAGTTACGTTCACCTTGCAATTCCCAGTGAGGTCAACAGGAAAAGGCAGGCACACTTGAAAGCAGATTTGAACTTAACACACTGCTAATCAACAGAGTGCTGAAGGTTGGTTGTTCTCTGGGTAGCATGCAGCAAACAGCCCAGTTACTACCCACAGTCACTCTAAGAGCATTTATACATGCTTCTGGTGTCTCAAAATACATCTCTCTACATTTTCATAGCGTCATTCTTCACCTTCTTAAGTCAGGATCATTGAAAGGTATTAGCAATATGCTTACAGGAACACATTATTGCTTTACTCACGTTTTCCCCAATACAATTTGGGGGAAGGGGAGGCCAAGAAAGAGCAGCCAGAAATAAAAGCCAATCAGAGAATGAGTACAAAAGACTTACAGAAGAAAGAATACACAATCCACCATTAAATCTTTTTGCAGTAGCAAACAATGTTCTCCCTCTCATCTTGCTTAATACAAGGAGCACCTTCAACCAGAAGAACCATCTTCATCAAAAATCCATGCTACGATAGCTCCTTCCACCAAATACAAGTGAATCAGCATAGGATGCAATAGGTAGAACATCTTACATAGAAAATCCTTCTCAGATAACTGCATCTGACCATCACAGAATTGTTGAGTTTGGACGGGACATCTTGAAATCATCTAGTCCAAACCCCCTGCTCAAGCAGCATCAGCTTGTGCAGCCTGCTCAGAAGTCTGTCCAATTGGGTTTTCACTATCTCCAAGGATGAGACTCCACAAACTCTCTAGCAATCTATTCCAGTGTTCAACCATGCTCACAAGAAAAATGTATTTTCTTACACTGAGATGACATTGCTTGTGTTTGAATGCGTGCCCAGTGCTACTTCTCTTGTTGATGGGCACCACTAAAGAGGTTGGCTCAGTCTTCTTTAGATGCTCTCTCTCTCCTCAGATATTTATTATTATTTATTATTTATTATTTATTATTTATTGATATCTTAAATATAATTATCGATGAGATCTCTCTGAGTCTTTCTTCTCTTTTGCAGGCTAAACAATCCCTACGAAAGGTGGCCTAGTCCCTTAATTATCTTAGTACCCTTTTGCTGGATTTCTCCCAGCAAGGACCATGGACCATGCTTACACCCAGCATTCCCAACAAGTCTACAGTCGAGCCCATTCTGACACACTTATATAGGAGGGAATAGCACAATACAGTGCCCTGCTGATGCAGGGGCATCATACTAACACAACATTTAGTATTGTTCCTTTTGAGTTTAATGACTGCCAGGAAAAGGGCTGCACGATCTCTAGCCATTTCTCTGTTCATACCCTCATTTGACTGAATACCATACCAGCAGCTTTCCTAGCTTTTCAGTGTTTGATGCCAATTCATAACAACTCCGCAATTCCAAGGCTTAGTAAGAAATTAAAGATGAAGGCATTAGTGCCACAATTTAAGGGAGACATCCTTTTTTCAACAACCTTTGGCAACATCTGCCATTACAGAGAAGAATCTTATGAACAATAATACTTTTCAGGTTGTAGTGGGTTTACGTGGCAAGGTTTTGGTAGCAGGGGGCCATAGGGGTGGCTTCTGTGAGAAGGATCTAGAAACTGCCCCATGTTAGGTAAGGGCCCCACTGCTGACCAGAGCTGAGCCAATAAACAACGTTGTTTACGCTTCTGTGAGAGCATATTTATGACAGGAGAAAAAAACACTGTGCCACACAGCAGCTGGGAGAGTGAGAGGAGTGAGGCACAGTCTTGCAGGCACCAAGGTCAGTGAAGAAGGAGGGGGAGAGGTGCTCCAGGCGCCAGAGCAGAAGTCCCCTGCGGCCTGTGGTGAGGACCATGGTGAAGCAGGATGTCCCCCTGCAGCCCATGGAGTACCACGGTGGAGCAGGGTTCCACGCTGCAGCCCGTGGAGGAGACCACGGTGGAGCAGGTGGCCCTGCACCGACGGAGGCTGCCGCCTGTGGAAGACCCCTGCCGGAGCAGATTCCGGGCCGGACCTGTAGCCCATGGAGAGGAGCTCACGCAGGAGCAGGTGACCTGGCAGGAGCTGCTGCCCGTGGGGGACCCAGGTTGGAGCAGTTTTCTCCTGAGGGATGGACCCCATGGTACGGACCCATATCTGGAGCAGTTCTGGAAGAGCTGCTGCCTGTGGGAAGCCCACGCCAGATCAGTTCATCAAGGACTGCATCCCGTGGGTGGGACCCCACAGCACAGGGGACGAGAGTGACCAAGAAGGAGCGGCAGAGAAGAAGTGCTGTAGACTGACCATAACCCCCAGTCCCCCACCCCGTTCAGGGGGAGTAGGTGAAAGAGGGTGGATAGGGGGGGAAGGCGCTTTTGGTTTCTTTCCTTTGTTTCTCACTTCTCTAGCTTGTTAGTAATAAGCAATAAATCTTACTATCTCTCTATGCCGAGTCTGTTTTGCCCTTCATGATAATTACTGCACGATCTCCTCATCCCTATCTCAACCTTTGAGGCCTTTTCATCATATTTTCTCCCCGTTCCTCTTTAAGGAGGGGGAGTGAGAGAGCAGTTGTGGTGGAGCTTGGCCACCCACCCGAGTAAAACCACCACACAGGTACAGAAGACAAAGATTGCCTTTGAGCCCCATGCAAAGATAAGTGGATTTCTTTTGAGGCATTTAAGAAGTAGGAGTTACAAAGTTTCTTTACAGGTGTAGGAATGACTGTCAAAGCATCAAAACAAGCATGCACTTCCACTAAAAGACCACCTCACACCTTGTACTCAAGGGACAAAAATAAGCAACACTTTCAGAACAAGAAAGTGGCAATCCAAAACTATAGCATCACGTCTGCTAAAAAACTGATATTAAACAAGATGTCAACAGCTAATCTGACAGATTTGTTATTTCTTTGATTCAGATGAGATTTTTGGTTGGCTGGATTTGGGTCAAGAACAAAAATTATGTTCTGTTGACAGAGTTTTTAACAGGCTACAAGAATGCAACTGTTTGCACATGAAACTAGAGGCTTTACTACCTCTCAAAACACAAACCAACGGACTCCAGAAAAGCCCACATAATTTTATGACTGCATAGTTCAGCTAAAGAATTATGTCTCCCACCCCTTTTCTTATGTTCTTCAGTATTGCACTGTTATATGAATTCCTCATAAATATTTGCATAGCATACAATGATTTCATTGTAACAGACAGCCCCAACAGCATAACCAAACATTAGCTTTCAAAGCTGGCGTTTAAGTTCATAGCTTAACACAAGCCAAAACTCAAGCCTTTCAAGGAATATTTTTCACTAAGTATCACAGTAATTCAGAGCATCTTCCATTTTCTTCCATTTTCTCTGGAAATGTGCTAGAACTTGTTTCCCATTTCATAAAGCTGAAGTTTTCCACTGTTGGGAAGCGTGAAGATTTCCATAAGACAATTCTAGTTTCTCCCCTCATGAGAGTTCAGATCGAAGATGGACTGCCTCCAGATAACACCATCTGTCTTGAACACGGTATGTTAAGAAGCTTCATATTACAGGGAGGGGAAGCCTAACATAAAGGACTTGGGATTCCCTACAAATTTCCATCATTTATGCTCTGAAGGGTATTCATATACACCATTGAAACAACAGTCTTGCTTCTCATCCCCACTAACATGATTTTTCTGATGTAGTTGAAGTATCAACTTGTGCAAACACTGCATAGACATTTCAGTGAAAAACAGCTGAGTTAGCTTGGCAATTCTGAACAGCGAAGTCAACATGGCAACTTATTAAATGTTTAATCCAAAATGTAAGGCTAACCAAGCATCTGTGATCAAGACCATTTAAACGTGTAAAGTACGGTGTCCACATTGAGCCTTTAAAGGGCAGCTGACCCAAATTGACCAAATGAATATTCCATGCCATATGGCATCAGACTCAGCACTAAAACTGGGGGGAAGCTGGCCAGGCAATGGTGCTCTTGCTTGGGGACTAGGTGGACCCAGGCCATATGGCATCAGACTCAGCACTATAACTGGGAGGAGCTGGCCAGGCAATGATGCTCTTGCTCGGGGACTAGGTGGACTGTCGGTCAGCTGGTACTGAGCAATTGCTTTGTGCATCACTTGTCTCTTTGTTCTTAATAAATGTTTTTTATCTCAACCCACAAGTTTTCTAATTTTGCCCTCCCAATTACCAATCCTCTTCCCGGCATCCAGCCGGGCAGGGAAGCGGAGGAATGAGCAAGCAGCTTTGTGGTGCTGCTCCTCCTGTGCTGCTAAGCTGGACAGGCTGCGACTCCAGAGTGAACTTGAGTCAGAGGGACTGGGACTTGTGGATGAATCCACATGGGGACCATGTACACCCCAAAGTACCTGAGGCCACAGATAAGTCCACTCCAGCAGGTGTCTGAAGGGTCCCCTGGAGGGACTGTGGCCAACCAAAAGGCCATGCCAGAACAGGTACACCTTGAAGCAACTGTGGCTGTGGCTAAGTCCACGACACAACAGGTAGACCTCTGAAGGGAAGGGACTGTGGCTCATGGATAACCCCATGCCAGAGCAGGTACACCAATGGACAAGCCCAAATGGGAGCAGGGGAGAGGTGAGGAGTTCACTGCAATGTTAAACCTGCAGCAGTAGAGATTGCAGTGGATAGGCATTTATACTGTTGTAACCCGTCATCTGAATTGCATGTTATGGGAAGCACTACAGCAAGAACCACTCAAACCAGCTGAGGGTTATCCTCACAAGAAGCAATGCAAGTGCAGCAGCGGCCCAACCTGAGCTGGCTTCAGCATCCAATACCCCTACACAACACACCTCCTCTCCTGTCCTGAGCAACCACTGTAACAGACAGGACCAAAATTACAAACTAAATGAACATTTTATGGACATTTCGCAGGGACAGTCAACAAATTAAGGGAATTATATCTGTATTAATCAACAGTTAATGACTAACAAGGATGTACTGGAAAGCATGGGACCTGGGCATGACGTAAACTGTATAGAAAAGGGTGGGGTCCTCATTTTGGTTGGGATAGAGTTGATTTTCTTTGTAATAACTGCTATGGTGCTATGTTTTGGATTTGTAATTAAAATAGTGCTGACAACAAACCAACATCTCAGTTGTTGCTGTACAGTGCTGAGCGTCATAGTTTTCTCCATTTCTCATACTGCCCTGTTAGCAAGGAATTAGCAAAACCGATGACCCAAACTGCCCAAAGGAATATTCTGTACTGCATGATGTTCTCAATAACAGAAGTGGAAGGAGATGGCTGAGGGCTGCCATTGCACCAAGCATCTGTTAGGTAGTGCTGAGTAACTGCATTCTGCATCACTTGTGTTTTCTTTTTTCTCCTTTAGGGTCTAGGGAGTTGGTTTTTTTTCGTTCTTTTTCTTTCCTCCTCCTTTCTCATGAAACTTTGTCTCAATCCACCAGTTCTCCAACTTTCGCCCTCCCACTTCTCTTCTCCCCATCCAGCTGGCAGGGAGTGAGCAAGCAGCTGTGTTGCACTAAACCGCTGATCAGGATCAAACCCTGACAGTGCCTTTGAATAATTTACAACACCAGCCCTATGACTCAAAATAATTAAATTTATACATAGTTTAAAAAAATAATGCATAAGAGTCAAGATCAGCCAAGATCAGGATGGGTTACAACCTATTACAAGAGCATTCTGCCTTTAACTGGAAGTACTGCAAGACAGTATTACAGCTACAGCTATTGTCATATACATAGCCTGAAAGCCTGTTTGCAGGGTGTTCCAAGAGATCTGAAGACAACTGTTGTAAAATTTTCCCTGTGGCACAAAGTACTGCCAAACACAGGGTTCCTTTCAGAAATGGTGAGATTCTCTTGTCTCAACGCTCTGCCTACGGGGAAGTGATGCTACACTAGACACCCTTTAATTTCTTTGATTTTAGACTTGTACTTCTGCTTACCAGTTCCTAAAAACTCAAACACTTGCAGCAAACTGAAACAGCAGTTACTTTTCAAAAATGAATGATGAGGAAAAAAATACTTCAAGTTCTCGTTTGGTCTGATGAAAATATCCTAACAGTTGAAGTATCCAGCAGCATTTGTTTCAGCCCATATAGAATTTGCAAAGGCAGGATGTTATCTGAAGGCACATTATTTCCTAGAACTATATCCTCAGAGCTATCTTTAACTGATCCTCCAAGCCACACCTTTTATCTTGCTGTTTCCCACAGAGCAAAATGGTTATAGATCTGTTGCAAGCTTCAAGATAGACGTGGAAAAAGGAAGAAATCAGGAACTTTTCCATAGATGTATTGGGTTTACACAGTAAGGTGTCACGGGAACTGCATGAGCTGCTTTCAGACAGCTCCAAGAGACCGGATACAACTGAGCCCCTCAGCCAAGCTGATGGTGCCTCTGGGAAAGCATATTTAGGAGAACAAAATGTTGCACAGGAGTAAGGAGGAGAAAAAAAAGAAAAAAGGAGGGACATGGATGCATGCACATCAGGGTCAGAGAAAGATGAGGGAGACAAGGTGCTCCAGGCACCAGAGCCTGCAGTCCATGGAAAAGACCATGATGAAGGATGTTATTTCCCTCCAGCCCATGGAGAAGATCAGAGCAGAGCTGCAGAGATATCCACACTGCAGCCTGTGGAAGACCCCAGGAAATATCTACCTGCTTTGGTACGAAGGAAGCTGTAGCCCATGGTGAGCCCAGCCTGCAGCAGGTTTATCCTGCAGAACAGGGAAGGAGGGAACTCACACTGGAACAGACAGCAAGTTTGTGGAGAAAGGACTGGCAGAGAGAAGCTGTTATGGACTGAACCAAACCTCTCATTTCCCATATTCCCCCCACCACTCAAGGCAGGGGGAAGTAGATTCAGGAATGAAGGACTGAGGTTGAGCCTGGGAAAAGGTGGGGAGCTGCAGAGGGGAAGGTTTTCCCTGTGACAGTAACTGGTAAGTGATCTTCCTACTTTTAAAATGACAAAGCTTGTACATCAAGGTATTTTCTCTGTCTTGTTTCCGAAGGTGAAATAAGAGAGCAGTTGGGTAGGCATCTGACCCATGGTCAACCCTCCAAAATATGCAAATTAAAGTATCACCTCGGTTGCAAGAGGCAGTTACGTGAAGTAGCACAGAAAAGAAATAGGTACAGACATTTCCTTCCATACATCACAATTCTTTATTTTAGGGAAATGCAGTCATTTGTGCATACTAGATTCCATTTTATTATCCGCAAATAATCCTCAGGCTTCACTTTTCCAAGATGATTCATTTAATATTAAGTTCTTATCTTGCTGAAGCCAACGCACAAGCCTGTTGAAAAATATCAGCTGAATTAGTGTACTAAAGTATCTTCATCTGTTTAATTTGGGTTAAAATCTGAAGAGGCTTTGCCAAGACAAACTGACATTGCCAAACCAGTGGTTGCTTTACTGCTTCTTCATAGAGACTACCAATAGAGTGTAAGAAAAATAAACTGACCTATTTTATATCAATTGCAAACTTCTTCCAAGAAATGGAAAACTAAGTGACCTCCAAAAGGTCCCATCCAACTTGAGCTATTCTGTGAAAAGATGTGGGTATAGACCTTGCCTACAGTACGTGGAATGATCTCATGAGCAAGGGTATACTTGTAGCAGCAGCAGCATTCTAATTAGAGCATACACATGGGTAATCTCCTCTAACACATTAAAAACCAATGGAATAGTTGCATCAGCATTGTCATTTATGAGTCTAACATTTACTCTTGTTTTATTAAATACAAATTTGAAAATCTGATCACTGTGAGAACTGTTTCTTTGCAGGAACTGTCACACTTTGGCTGACCCCCAGCTTACCTAGAACAATCAAATGTTTTGGGTGGCCGGGGAAAATAAATAGCCAAACTGACATATGGAACTTAAATGCTCTTGAACTGCGATCACCATTCCCAAATACTAATCAGAAGCTTTAAATAACTGGAAGTAGCCAGCCCTTGCAGCTTACAAGGGTCACTACAGATACTTTAAGAATGGCTGTGTAAAAGAGACTAAGTGAACATCCAATAACCTTTGCATGGAAGATAGTAACATCTCATTGTCAGCAGGTACTCAGGCCAGATTATTAGTTTTGTTTTACAGTGTATTTATATATATTCTCTCTGTCTATATATATATATAGTATTTATTCAAAAAAAAGTCTGCCACTTGCTCTCCAAATTTCATAAGTCATCCTAACCTTTGATGTACCATAATACAGAAAAAAACATGTTCATAGGAATCTTAAATAAGATGAGTTTTCAGCACAGTTTCGATCAGCTTTTGCTAATACTTGTTAAAAGTTCAAGAATTCATGGAAATAGCAAAAAAGTACATGACTTTTTTTTTTTTAAAAAAAAAAAAACAAACAAAACAAAACAGCTCTCAGACTATCAGTTCAACTATTAGGACCTAGAAGAAGAGAATTAAAGAGATGGTTGCTCCCTCCAGGCCACTCTCCCACCCTCATGAAAAGTGATATAGACATGGAAGAGGGGAGATGAAGAAAGGGAAAAAAAAAAAAAAAAAAAATGTATCACACAGGGTGAATACCTTTCTCCACAACTCTCACTCGGATTTCTCCTGGTTTGACAACAATATCAGGTGGATTCTTGACATCACAAATGTAAGTGCCGTTGTCCCGGAACTGCATGTTTGATATACTGATAGAAGCATCTTTCTTGTTAAGGTCTCCAGTCCAAGTGATCCTGTCTTTAAATGGTAAGTCCTTTCCAGGATACGACCTTCCATTAAAGTAATAGAAAAACTGTAGTCAAGGAAAAGAGGATATAAGAACAATCCAATTAGAGATTATAGAGCTGCCATACTTCTCTCACTATTACAGCATTCTCCTAGAGTTCACTGTACAATACACAGCTAGCATTAGACATTTTTGTGCTGTGTTTTGTTTCCCCCCCACACACACACACCTCACCATCTAAGTCTGGCTTATGTCTTGATCACATAACCATGCTATGACTTACACCTCAATCATACTACCTCAGTAGACTGCAAGTTTTGATTTTCTGTTGTTGCTTTCTTTTTTATCCCCCTCTCTTTTTTGGGGGGTGCAGGGTTTGGTGGATTAGAAGGTGAGGAAAGGAGAACAAGGCTGGTAACCTGGGAATAATTAAAGAATAGCACTTCTTCCAGATCACAGCCATCTGTCTTTCAGGTAGAGGAAGCCTTCTGCATCCTAGCAGGAAAAGATTACCAAGCTTCCTATCTTGTGTGTTGCTGTGTGTGACTTGCAGCTACGGTATAGCTTAATTAACATGCAATACGTTCCTTACCTGCACCCTTCAAGAAGTCCCACTAGCAATTTATAGCACATCTAGCTGTGTTCCAGAAACCTTTAAGGTAACTAAATATAGTTGTTTCCTGACTTCCAGATGATTAAGTCGCACATGGCTCTGCATTCCATAGACCTGACCAAAAACACTTGAAGAAAGAAACTTTAGTACTGTCTTTGAAAACTATACTAAACTGCACCATTGCTCACTATACCTGACCAAATTTAGAATATACAGCAGCAGAAGTATATAGAGCTGCACGGGACAAAAGCTCACTTTCAGATATATTGGATGTTTAAGCACTGGTCATAACCTTAAGAGACAGATCAAGGCTGTAAAAACAGTAGTACATTGTGAAATAAAGAATTAATCTTAACCAAGACTCAACCCAAGTTTGCTCCAATTCAGTGTCCAGAGCATGGTTAAAGAAATTTAAGACTTCCTCTTACACTGTAATAGTGATAATTCAGATTCCATGAGCAGCTCAACAGCTCATTTTCAAGTATAAGATGACAAAGACTTTAGAAGATTCTTAGCTGCTCATCTACTTCTTACATAGAGCTACCAGACCTCTCCTCTGACTAAAAACTACTAGTCTATTTTCCAGCTGCTGCACACTCCAGCCTTTGACATCTAACATATCACGATATACTTAAATAACTCTTAAAAAAAAAAAAATACTAAAATGAGTGGTGGAGACAAAACACACAGAAGAAGGCTCCAATCCACAGTTACTTGACCTCAGAACCAACTGAAAGACCTCTGAATACTTATCACAGCCTTCAGCCCCAGGTAGGTTCCTCTACAGGTGTTCCTTACTGAGATACGAGTTGCTGCTCCCTCTGGTTGAAAACTCCAAGAAACAGATGCGGCGCTGCTGATCACTTCCACAGATGTAAATGTGCATGGAAGCTTTGCATCTGTCCCATTCTCCACAAACATTTCTTCTGGAGTGCTGACCTCTACTGCGGATACTTCAACTGTATGAAAAAGGCAAAGAGAAGAAAGAAGGAAAAGAAGAGGCATCAGTGCTGTTTTAAGAGTTAGGAAGTTGCGGTGGTAACAGTTCGTATCACATTGTTTTTAAGGGAAAATTAAGAAGCAACAACAACTCACACAGCAAGTGTGTGTACAGGCATTGCATTATATCCATAATATAAGCAAGTATACAGCAGGTCAGTTCACTACTCTTTCCTTGTATTATCTGCTACAGGATGTTTTCCTTCCACAGATGTTTCCTCTACAGCACTTTGTGGAAGTCAATTCTATAGTGCAAAGGATGAGCTTACACTCTTCCTTTCTAGCTGCCAGCAGAGACTGTAATAAATAAGCCCCACTGGAGGAACTAACATCTTGAATCCAGCTATTACTCAATTTCCTCTACAGCTCACATCTTGTTTCCCATTTCTTCAGCTTTTCTCAGCTGTAGCTGGAAAAAGAACTCACCTTTACTAAGCTCAGGATTAAACCTCTCTGGGTCCCAGCCATGCTATCAGCTTCTACTCCTTGGCATGGTTCAAGGTCTTCATGTGTAAGACCTCCTACGTAGTCACTCAGATACAGTTTAGAAGCACAAGAGTAGTGTTTTTTTTCCACCACCATGAGGCTTATGCATGGTCAAAACAGCAATCAGATCACAAATAACCCGCAGCTATTAAGCAATCAGGGTTAACTTTGTGATTACAACAGTAGTGCCCCCGGGTAAGCCAGGCACTCGGTGTGTGCACGGCCGTGTAGGGTCTGCTGTCTCTCTCACTCAGCCAGCCTGGCAAACAAGGGCAAGGCAGAGCACGTGCCCAGGGACACGGAAGGGCCATGCAAGCACTGCAAGGGTGGAGGAATTAAGCAAGCCAGTTCAATTACAGTAACCAAAACCAGAAGAAGCCACCATTCATTCCCTCTGCCTGTCGAAGGTCACGCTGTTCACTCCTCATCCTCACTCTCTCGACAGTCCCATCAGGTTATCCCCAGTTCCCCAGCCTACCCTGTCACCATTGCTCTCGCTGCAAACGAGCAAAAGAGAAACAGCACCCTAAGAGAGGGGGATTTTCATCAGGAGGTTCTATCAGAGCTGCTTTTCTCTTGTACGCACTCTTGACTATGGGCCAAAAAATATTCTTTTGTAAAACAATTACCAAATATTTGTTTGGAACACACAAAGGCTTCTAGCAATTCAATTAAATGAACTCAGAGCTGCTGTGCTTTATGTATTTTTTCCAGCTAATGGAGTGGAGAAGAAAAAAACTAATCCATTGTTTCGAGTCCAAGCCACAGAACAAGTCTGCCTTTCAAGCATAAAACAAGCAAGATGCCCTCAGCATTTGTGTAGGAAGAAAATAGTCTGCGCAGACACTGCCTGCTTGTACGTGGTACAGAGAACCCCTTGCCACAGACAGGGAGTGGGTAGCACAGACCCGCTTCCAAAGAAGTCCCTGTTCTAACTTACCAGTAACTCGTGAAAGAACTGTAGCAAAGTAAGAAAATCCAACTTCTTCCTTCAGTCTCGGAAGGCAGGAACTATATAGTGTCTTGTACAGACATTTACAGCTTAATTTTCACTTCCTACTTGCTGTCTCAACTTCATGTCTCTCTTTACTTGTTCCCTCCCTGCCCCCAGTTAAATAAAAAGGTCACTCACTATTCGCTCTTTCGGCGTGCACAGCTTGAATTTCTTCCCCTCTGCTGTCTTACAGCATGAGACAAGATGACTAGGAAGTGGTAGAGGGGCCACAACATTTGACATTTGTTTTTCCTTAGCCTTCTGCTCCCATACTTTTACTGATACAGTGGCAGTTCCCACTACCCTGAAATCTTTAGCCTCTTCTACCATAAAAAATAAATCCATGTGGGTTATCTCCAGCTTTAGCTCTTCTCCTTCTCTTTCCACTTTTGCCAGAGTGACATCCTTCTTCCAGCTCCATCTATTTAAATACTTCAGTTGGAGAAAGCTGAATTTGGACTCATATTCTAGTCCCACTTATCCACTGGTCCACTCCTCAAGCTTTCTCAGCCTTAACTCCACTAAAGAAGGAAAAAAAATAACAGGAGACTGTCGGAGAGAATGCAGCTTTAGGAAGGGAAGGTCTGCAGGCTAGGTATGGCAAAGAGAAACATTTATTTGCTCTTCTCCCATCAATCCTCACTTATCCCACCATCTTGTCCAACTGCCAAGTCCCAGTATTTCCACCTGAACACCTCTTCTAGCTTTCAATCACTTTAATTCTTTTCAGGAGAAAAATGCTTTTATTTTCACCTACCATCAAAATGTGCCTCTCCAGTCATTTCTTTTTCCACCTCTCGTGTAGTTGGATTTGTTTTACTCCAACTACATCAATCTTTCACAAGTTGTATTTTCAGCCCCCACGCTCCAGTGAAAACACTCCAAATCACAAGTCCAATGACTCATCCCCTGCTAAGCCTCAGGACCAGTGCTCCATCCTTACCTTCCTTCTCAGACAACCCTCCTAGTCTTCAGGTAGGACTAGACACTCTCACTTCATCCTTTCATCCTATCTTTTCTTCTTGTTCCTATAGTCGGTCTTCATCCTTCACCAAGGCTCTCTATTTTCACATCCCTCTTCCCTCGGTATCTTGTCTCTGGGATCTCATCTGCAGAACAAGTTCAGCTGCCATCGCTGCACTGACTGCTCAGATCTGTCTCTCTGCTCAGGGTCTGTCTCCTTCTGTTCAAAGGAAAGTCTCAGTCTGACACCTTTGTCAATGGGAAGCTGCCAGCTCACACTGAATGGAACTAAACCAGGGCTCATTTTTTCCCCCGAGCCTTCCACCACCACATTTATCACCATGGACCAGCGCCACATCCAGTTCAACCTGTGTAGCGTTTTTCACTTTGAACTCTCTCCAGTTTGAGGGTATAGCTGGACCTTGCAGAGTCTTTCAGTTTTTAGCCACCTGCACAGCTGACAGTAGTCTAAAACCTCCCTTTTGTATCTTACTCTTCATTAATGAATATTTTTCTCTGGATTTGAGGGGTATCTATTGGCAGAAGCCCAGAAATGATTCTTTTTCTTAAAGTCATTTCAATTCCAAGCTGCTCTGCATCTCTCCCCTTCTTCCATTTTACAGAAATAAAAGCCATCTGCCTTTCACAGCAAGTGTCTTATGGCCTATTTCCTAGCAGTTCTTATTCACGATCAGTTCAATATCATCTGCAACAGCTAACAAGTGGGCAGTAAGGGCTATCATTACTTTAAAAAAAAAAAGGACATCTGATGTGTCCCCACTTCCCATGACTTTATAGGAACATCTATACGCTACATTTCTCCTAAAAGAGTCTCTTTTAAATATTTATTTTACAAGCTCAGCCACCTGCTGAAGTCACCAGGCATTGTCAGCTGTGTGGTATCTCATTTCTCCTTTACATAATCCATTTCCTCAACTGTAGCTATCAGGCTGCTGAGGCAAGTTATCTTCTTGGCATTTCTATATAGCTGAGCACCCTGAGAGACCTGTACATCCTTGGGGTGCCCACACGCTTTGGCGGTATGCTTCAGCTGCCCACCCCATGAAGCCTGTTTCCATGCTCCAGCAAGCCCAGGCACTGCAGACCAGCCGTAATAGTTTTGTATTAACTGCATGACAGAAAGCAACTCACCTGGGTAGAAGGGGTACCTGTTTCACACAGATCACACCTCCTCTATCAGGTTAGTCAAAGCAGACAGTCACCCTTGATACTTCAGCCGGACAAGAAACAAAGGCAGCTGACAAAGTAAAAACTACTTCACAAGCGGCAGAAGGCTCTCAAATCATTTGAATTCTTAACTAGGTGGTCATCAGAAAGAAGATACCCAGCTTTGCTGATGAGTTTATTGGGTGCAAAGAGAATTAAAACCATTGTTCAATTTTTGCCTCGAGTCACTGATTCTGCAGAAGCACAAAAAGGAAGGACAGACAGACCTTGGCTAGCCTCTTTTCCACAGTATGGACCAAGTTAAAAACATTTACCACGTACCACAACTTAAAAGCCAAACACTCAGCTTCCATAACAGGAAGCTACTGCTGATGTCCTGCTCTTTGAACATGAGCTGAGGTTACCATAAAGAGCAATTGTCACTCATTTTCCCCAAACACCACCCTCAACACCAGCTGGCTGACATCCAGGCAGTTACAACATCTAAGGCACTGTCTATATCTAGTGACTGAAGAACCTACATATAGGTTATTTATCCTGTATGTATTCTATATATAGAATAGAAGATTGGAGGGGAAAAAAATAAAGATATGCAGCTGTAAAATAGAAGCAGAGTATCTGCCAGACATGTATCACCCAATGTATGGCAAGGACAGCTGGAGAGTCTCAGTACCAAGAGCAACATCCCAAATGCTTTTTTGCTCTCTTGAAAAAGACAGGCACTAAGGCAGTTACTAGGAACTGCAATATTCACTGCTCCAAGGGTAACATTAGTAAGAAGACGACATCATATATGTGATATCACTGCTTTCTTCTATGAATTGACGACAGAAGAAGCAGTATTCACCATACACATGTTCAGAACAAGCACAATCTGCTACACAGCATCTCCACCTAGCCAACTTTCCTGACATCATATCGTTTCAATTTACCTGTCGTGAATGAACCAGACCTTCCTAACTCCTAAGGTGCAGCTCTACATTAGCTGCAGCAGACCTGAAGACCCAGAGCTTATTGATTCCATTGTAAAAACCCTGGTATGTTTGCCAGGATGCACAAAACTAGTGAAAAAGTTGCATGTTTTCAGCTAGTTTGACCCTGACTCAGTTCACAGACCCCAGTATCCATATATCAGCAGCTCCTGTGAGTGGCAACAATATATTGCTTTGAAATCACCTATGTGGAAGAAGCCTTTGTAATTACCCAGCAGCAAAGTATAGGAAGATGGAGTCAGACCAAATGGGTAGCAGACAGGCATCCACAACCACAAGAGTTTGCATATGGTTAGTTAAACAAATTATGGTTAACTTCAGCTTTCAGTGAGATTAAGAGCAATCAAGCTCACAGTTTTCAACAGTAACACAAAAAGGTTGCAGTATTACACCGGTGAGGTTTACTTTCCAGTATCTTTGACACGGGGCACACCTCCACTGAACAACTCTTGGAGAAAATGGCTAACCTCTGCCTTCAGGGCGCTGAGAGGAGTCCTCCTTGCAGGTCCTGCAGAGGAAAGATCCCTCAGAGGGATCTTTGGCCAGGTCAGCTGAGACTGAGTGACACAAGCTAGCAACTTAATCTGCAGAGGAGACATTGCATATGTGACTGGCTATCTAACAGGTCAACACCTGGATACCCCCCGTGTCCACTACCACTAACTGGTGATGTCCAAAGCTCTTACTTTTTCTCCTAGACATTGTCCCTCACCTTTTGGAGGATCTGCTCAAAGGGTGCAAACTTATTTTACTTCCTTCAAAGTCTCTTAGAATCATAGAAGCATTGAGGTTGGAAAAAACCTCTAAGATCATCGAGTCCAACCTTTAACCTAGTACTGAAGTTCCCACTAAACCATGCTACTGAGTTCTGAATCTACACGTTTCACAAATACCTCCAGGGATGGTGACTCAACCACTTCCCTGGGCAGCCTGTTGCAATGCCACACAACCCTTTCAGTAAAGGAATTTCTTCTAATCTCTTGAAATGCCTCCAAAACATTTGGCAACACCATCTGTATAAATCCAACAG